CTTCGGCAAGAAGCCACGGGTTAGCCACGGGTGCACTACGCTTCCCAAATGTTGTGGTGTGATCGCGCCTGGAAAATCCGCCTACCATCCGTATCTTTAGCGCAGCCAACGCTCGTGTGAACGGGACCCGTATTTAGCTGCTTGCTGTTGGTTCCTGCACCACTGAAACTGTGTTGATTAACATCATGGGATCTGAGCTGGCAGCCACAGACGAAGAAAAGGGATCTTGGGGTGGTAGTGGATAACTCAATGAAAATGTCAACCTAGTGTACAGTTGCTGTGGAAAAGGCAGATTCCATGCTGGCCACAATTAGAATAGGAATAGAGAATAAAACTGCTGCTGTCATACTGCCCTTAGACAAATCTACAGAGAGATTACGCTTGGAATATTGTGTGGATTTATGGTTGCTGCAACTGAAAAAAGATATTGTACAGCTTGGAAAGGTCCAGAAAAGAGCAACTAAAATGATCAGGGGACTAGAGCAGCTGTCCTATGAAGATCAGTTAAAACAGGGCTGTTAAGCCTAGAAAGGTGAGGGGAAACATGATAGAGGCTTATAAGATTACCAAGAGTAAGGCCTGTTGTGGGAAGAAATACAGTGAGCTCTAGAAAGAGGCTCCAGGTGAGTGCCCTGGCTGTGGCTGGCGGGGCGATGGAAAATAGAGGGAGAAGAAGAAGAAGAGATTGGATTTATACCCCGCCCTTCACTTGGAGTCTCAGAGCGGCTTACAAATTCCTTTCCTTTCCCCTCCCCACAACAGACACCCTGTGAGGTGGGTAGGGCTGAGAGAACTCTGACACAAACTGCTCTTTTTCAAGGACAGCTGTGCCAGAGCTTGTGACTGACCCAAGGTCACATCAGCAGGTGCAAGTGGAGGAGTAGGGAATCCAACCCGGTTCTCCCAGATTAGAGTCCGCACACTTAACCACTACACCAAACTAGCTCGCATGTTTATTTCCTTCTCCTTAGCTATAAGGAGGCGAACCATGTTTATTTCCTTCTCCTTAGCTATAAGGCAGGGCTGTCTCAAGTCATTTTGCTGCCCCAATCGAGTAGTATGGGAGGAGAGCCGCATGGTAACAGGTATGGTTCCCTCCACCCCTGGCTTACGTTGATTTGGGGCTCTGCAGTGGCACCTAAGGTAGAAAAGCACCTCCTCCTATGCCATGTTTTCTGGGTTTCAAGGGTCTGGAAGGTGGTTCCGTAGCCAGTTACAGGCTTGCCAACTCTGGGTTGGGAAATACCTGTAGATTTGAGGGGTAGAGCCTGGGGAGGGCAGGGTTTGGGGTGGGGAGGGACCTCAGCAGGGTATAATTCCATAGTCCACTGCCCAAAACAGCCATTTTCTCCAGAAGAACTGACCTTGGAGATCTCCATGTGCCACCCAAAGGATGGCAATATGAAGGGGAGGGCCAGACCTGTAGATTTGAGGGGTAGAGCCTGGGGAGTGCAGGGTTTGGGGTGGGGAGGGACCTCAGCAGGGTATAATTCCATAGTCCACTGCCCAAAACAGCCATTTTCTCCAGAAGAACTGACCTTGGAGATCTCCAGGTGCCACCCAAAGGATGGCAATATGAAGGGGAGGGCCAGACCTGTAGATTTGAGGGGTAGAGCCTGGGGAGTGCAGGGTTTGGGGTGGGGAGGGACCTCAGCAGGGTATAATGCCATAGTCTCCACTATCCAAAGCAGCCATTTTCTCCAGAACAACTGATCTTGGAAATCTCCAGGTGCCCCCTGGAGGTTAGCAATACTAAGGGGAAGACCAGGTTTGTTGAAGGACTTCAGTTAGATATAATGCCATAGATCTCACCTTCCTAAGCAACCATTTTCTCCATGGGGACTGATCTCTGTAGTCTGGAGATCAGTTTAATTGACTCCCTGCTAATGCCCCATGGCCTCTTGGGACTCCCAACTTGGGAGTTGTAGTTCTAATTCCCTTTGCTATGGTTGCAGTAAGGCCAGCTGAGAACTACAACTCCCAAGGTGCAATGCATCAAAAGTGGGGGTGTAGGAATGGAGGAGCTGGCAGGACAGGCCAATAGGATGCCAAGGCACCTTCCATAGTGGCCAATGGGAGAGTAAGTGAATTGTTGTCAGCACAGCATGCCTTTTATATATACAGGATGCATGGCATGAAAAGGGTGGACAGGGAGAGACTTTTCTCCCTTTCTCATAAATGTAGAACCTGGGGTTATCCACTGTAGCTGAAGAGTGGGAGACTCAGAACAGACAAAAGAGAGTGCTTCTTCACTCAGCATATAGGTAATTTGTGGAACTTGCTGCCATACGGTATGGCCATGGCCGCCAACTTGGAAGGCTTTGAAAGGGAAGTGGACAAATTCATGGATTACTAGGCTAGCATTGGCTTCTAATCATGAAGCTGGATTTGCCTCTCAAGCACTTGCTGATCACTAAGCTAAATGATCCAGTGTCAAAGTGTTTCTGTGTCAGGGAAATGAAACCAGACCTGTTGGTCTTGGCATTCTTTCTGTGATAGGCAGCTAGCTTGGAATTTGCTGTTATATGAGACATAGTCTCTAGGAATAAGTAAAGAGCCAGTGTGTGGTGTAGTGGTAAGAGTAGAGCTTGGGAGACCCAGATGCAGATCCCCTGCTTGCCACAAAACTCACCAGATGACTTTGGATGCTGCCTCACATACTTGAAAGAGTGAGGATAAAATGGAGTAGTGGAGAGAAATGCTTATTGGAGAAAAGGTGGGGTAAATATGTATGAAAATAAGTACATGTTAGATAAACCAAGAGCTATATAGATTTCCAATCTTGGACTCTCTAAGAAATACTGCTTGATAAAGCTGCATGTTTTGATTTCATTTTATTTTTTTTTAAAGGTGGACTTGGTACATTTTTAATGAACAAATGAAACTGCTTTTATAGCTTTCCTGCTGTTATGTTTGACTTAATTTTAATGACGCCGCTGTGATAGTTACATGACATAAAGAAAAGCTTAGGCTAAATTTTCCTTGAAATCATGGTTTTATATTGGGCAGGCCTAGCTGTCACTTTGCCATAGAGATGCTGTTATTCTACCTATCTACGCTTTACAAATGGGCTGAAAGTATTAGAAGAAACTAAAGCTAACATTGGTAATTTAACCAACAAAGCCATTCTCAAAACAGCTAACAAGCTCATTTTCTAAAATGATGTGTGGTGCAAGAATACTGTATTACTAAGAATACTAAGCTACCTGGCAGATGTGTTATTGGCCTCAGTTCCTTTGATGGCCATTCTTTGTATGGGACAGGGCTTGAAAACCATTTGTAACTCACCTCCTCCTCCCCCACTAGTCCCTATTTCCTTTCCTGAAAGCCCCATAGCTTCTCCCATTTTCCTGCTTCTGCTTCCTTCTTGCCTTTTAGAGTTGCCAACCTGGAGATATATTGGAATAAGAATGGATCTCCCAACTACAGAGATCAGTTCCCCATATGGTTGCCAGCTCAAGGTTAGGAAATTTCTGGAGATCTGGGGGTGTGAAGCCTTGGGAGGGTGAGGTTTAGAGAGGAAAGTGACATAATCAGAGTATAATGTAATTGATTCCACCCTCCAAAGCAGTCATTTGCTCCAGGGGAACTGATCTCTGTCATCTGAAAAGCAGTTATAATTCCAGGTGATCTCCAGACCCCACCTAGAGGCTGGCAACCCTAGTTCACTAGAGGAAATGGCTGATTTGGAGGGTGACGTCTATGGCATTATACCGTTATGAGGTATAGTGCTCTCTCTAGACTCCTCCCTAAATCTCTAGGAGTTTCCTAACCTAAAGTTGGCAACTCTATCTCCTTCCTACCCAACAGCCAACCTCCCTTTATCTGCTCCTATTTCTTAAGCTGTCTGTCTCCCCCTTTCTCCCCTGGTAGCCTCTGAGTAGGAAAACCATGGCCCAGTTGTGTGGTGCCAACCACCAGGCCAGGCTCACTTGCATGGTAGGGAAGCCTCAAGGACTTGTGGGGGGTGCCCCACTTTTTCTTGTATCCCCTGTAAAGCAAGTAAGGTGTTTTGCTGTAGGTGTTAGCCTGGTCAGTCATAAATATGTGACCAATGCAGTCAAAGGGGACCACCTTCAGCTCCCCACCACTACCTCCTTGCCTCTTAGGGCCCACCTAGGTAAATCTACCCCCCAGGGGGCAGTACCTCTCCCTTTGAGAATCTCCGGTCTTAATGATAAAGAATAAAGCAGGTTGTTTTTAAGAATAAACAGGAAGCATGCTTCAAGGATTTCTTTTCCCACTCCCATGTTGATTCTTGTCTTTCATCACCACCATCCCTGTCTCTTACATATATGAATAATGCACTGAATTGGACTGTAATCAGTTATCAGTAAGATGGCAGTAAAGCTTTAAATTTCAGCTGAATTTGTGAATACTGAGGCTACAAACCTGTGTGCATTTACTTGGGAGCAACACTCCCTCTAACCTGTGGAGTCCTGTGAGCAAAAATTCTATTTTCTGAGTTACTGGCATTAAAGTTGTGTGCAGGTGATTTTGCTGTTGCATAGATTAGTTTGCTCTGAAGACATCCTTCCTGAGCTAAGACAAAAATGTGTGAGCTGGAGACTTAAGAACTATGAGCTAGCTCACACTAACTCAGCTTAGAGGGAATGCTGCTTGGGAGTAAGTCCGATTTAATGTAGTAGGACTTCTGAATAATACAGGGGATTAAATACTAGGAGTTTTCTTTTTAATGCGTGTCTTGTGACATTATACGTGCAATGTGAAATTGTACTTTTCCCCCCCATCCCCAGGATCAAACTTGCATCGCTGTGGATTTCGTGGTTCGTCGTATCTGGGAATGCCATTCAATCCATCCAAGGTTAGTTAATTCTATATTAAGAGGCAAAAAAGTTTCTGAATGTTTTTTCATTGGCATTTAACAGATGTTTATGTAACCATCATACAAGTTTGTGAGATGAGTATTGGCCCAGGGTCAGGAGGCAGCTGGAAGCTAAAAATGTTCTTATTTTTTGTGACTGTCACCAGTAAAAAAAAACCTCTTGAAACATTGCAAAATTTCTGTACAGAGTTGGGGAGCAGTTTTCCTAATGATGAGTAAAAAAGAAAAAGCCTGGGACATGTAAAGAACTGGAAGGGAAGGGGGAGAATGTGGAAATCCTATTCCATATTTCTCCACCAACATGCTTTAAGTTCTTGGGAGCTTAAGCAGGCTGATTCTCCCTCCCTCTTTCATGGTTGCTCAACTGCTATTAACATTGTTTCTCTTCTGGAATATATTTAATGGTTTTTGATTTCCCCCCCTTTATTAGTTGTTCTTCTCTGAGAGGAGGACATCTTGCTGGGTGTTTCCCACCCCATCCTTAGGGAGGCAGGAACCAAAAACTTCACTTCCTGTTCTCTTGGAGGAACACGCCCCCAAGCTCAGTTTAGTTCCTGCCTCGTTAGGGAGAGCAGCACTTTACTAGCACTCGTGCTTTACTTGGATATTTTTTCTTCTACCTTTTCTTCTATTTTTACAAAAATCTCTCTAGCTATTCTAAATGTTATTTTTCTAATTGTTCCATCTTTGTCTATACTCCTCCTTTCTCTCTGCTTCTTTCCTTCCTCCTCCCTCCTTTCCCGCCTGACGCCCCGGCTGGGGCATGTCTGAGAGGGAAGATTCGGATGGCTTTTTTTAGTGAGGACGAGTCCGGAAAAGCGATTTTGATAGCTCAGAGGTCCTACAGCCAAACTGAAACCATGTCCTTGGCTCCCGCGGCTGCGGCGAGTTCCTCCACATCAAAGAAATCTGGCGGGAAAAAACGGCCCCGCTCTCCAAGCTCGGAGCACATTGCAGGCGCCATCTTGGATCAGGCAGCAAAGCGCAAAACTCCAGAGGAAGGAGTTGGAGGCTGCGGGGCGGCTGTCGCCGCTGCTATAAGCCATGATTATGCTGAGGGTGAATCTCTTGAGTTCCCGAATGCCCAAGATCCGCCTGATCGCAGAGACGAGACATCTCCAAAGGGTCTACCCGCAAGTAGCCCTGACAGCAGCGGAAATGCATTAATAACCCCTGAGGTAATAAAATTCTTTAGAGAAACTGTGAGGGAAGAGCTTGCCAGCCTGAATAGGGGTTCCCATTTGGAGTTTAGGTGCCCTCCCCATGCCTCTCCCAGCTACGGGGCTCACAGGGAGGACTGTTTTGAAGGCCCAGAAGACAATAGGCCCAGATGGCCTATTAAGGCAGCTAGAAAGACCCATTACTGCCCCTTTAGGGCAGATCCCTGATGGGACATGTCCCAAGAGGGGGATAGTGTGGTTGTGGAACGGGAGGCAGGAGAGTTCTTCTCAGATGACGAAGAGGAGATGGAGATTCCAGAGCCCTCCATGAGATTTTTCAAACCTGAGAATTATATGTATAGAATAAGTCTACATCTATTGAATGGTCAATAACATTATTCAATGGTGCAAACGTCCAGAGGAGACAATAGATAAAATGTTGAGTAAAGTATAGTAAAAAAGATCATCTACATTTTAACCAGGGTTCCTTAAAGTTAATAGTTTAACGACTTTACATTCATTTACTGTATACCCCTTGGATGCTTTTGAGTTGGTGTTGTTTCTTTCTCTGCATTTGAATGTACTTTTAAGTAAAAGAATAAAAATATAATTAAAAATAAATAAAAAGAATTATATGTATTTACTTAGGAAAACAATGTCTGCACTAGAATTAATCCCTAAAACCAAACCTGATGGTCTACCTGAGGCTGACTCAGCTGACCAAACCTCCCTTTGAACCGATCGAGGAGATTTCGCTCAAGTGGCTTCGTATGAAGATGCTGTTTTTAGTGGCAGTGACCTCTGCCCGACGATTTTCTGAATTGGGAGCATTTTCGGCTAATCCCCGACTTTGTGTTTTCTACAAGGACAAAGTTGTGTTGATATCTGACCCTACCCTTTGTCCCAAGGTCAACTCCAGGTTCCATAGGTCCCAGGAAATCTGCCTCCCATCCTTCTGTCCAAATCCTTCTCACACCCAAGAGCGGATTTGGCATTCCCTGAATGTTCGACGAGCGCTTAAGACGTTTCTTCACCATACCAATGATTTCAGGAAATCGGAATCTCTATTTGTCTCTGTCTCTCCTCCCAACAAAGGGTGCAAAATGTCCAGCTCCACTATCAGCTCTACTCTCAAGCAATGTATTGCGGAGGCCTACAGGGTGCAAAACATGATTCCGTCAGTAGGGATCACTGTTCATTCCGTTCATAGTGTGGCCACCAGTGTGGTCTTTTCAAATAGGGCTTCAGTGGAGGAGATCTGTAAGGCTGCTACGTGGTCTTCAGTATCTACGTTTGTCAAACACTACAAAATCAGTATCCAGTGGCCCGATTTACAAAGCTAGAGGCCTTTGGTGATCCTGTACAGTGACTTTTATTATCTACACAGGGACAAGGAAATTTACTATTAAGATACAGCAATGCATAGCTTCATAGACTTTAGAATTGTTTACAATTCTGGCAGCTGGGAATGGTAATAGCCGCTTCTGTAGCAGCAGATCATGTGTTACATATACCATGATTTGGAAGCCAAACGATTTGTGTTCTAGATGCGCAGGCAAATCTTAGATCATATTTCTTGGTTCCTTACCTGCCTTCCTCCAGAATCCCCAAATGGTATCCCAAATGGATCAGCCTCGTATGACTCTTAGGGAAGTATTACTAGGTATACAGAACCTATAAATATACAATGTTATTAAGTGACTGGCAGTATTTTACAGCCGTGATATATTATATAGAGATAAACCCAAATTTTCCATCAAGCCTCCTGAAATGTTTTCTCTCAGATAAACTGTTCAGCTGCTGTACTATTGACCTAGGTGTACTTTTTTGTATGACTGGTCTAAGGACCATAAAAATAAACTGACTGACTGGCCTAGGGGATTTGGAAGCGGTTGGTTAGAAATGTTGCTATGTAACTGATGAAGCTTTTAATAAATAATGAACCACTGCATGCCTTTGTACAGTCATTTGCATTTATCACCCTTAGTGTTGCAGGCCTAATACTGCAAACTGTTTTTTCTCTATTGAACTGAATGGATTTATGCCAACACATACGTTAATGCATTGCTTTAATACGCAGAATACTGTAGCCATCTTATGCTTTCCCTTTGCAGTCTACACTGACAGTGGATAGAATGAGGGAGGGACCAAGACAAAATAACAGAGATGCAAGATAGGCTATGTGATGAAATGGCTGCCAGGCAGAGGCAGCAGTGTATTTTTAAATGGATGCCAGCCTGGTAGCCCTTAGGAGGGGGGAGGGTTGATTGGGACTTCCTCATTTGCCTGCCTACATTCCCCAGAAGCACTAGGGAGAAAGAGTGGGAAAATATGGACACACCCCAGGGGCGGAGCCAGGCAGATAAAGGCTTTGGCTCCTGAGGGGGGAGGAGTCTTCAGCCTGGTCTTCAGCCTTTGGCTCAGCGTGGACGGCAGCTTCAAGGGAGCGGACAGGTGGGCTTCTGTTGCCTCAAACTCCAGGGCATCCAGGCCACTATAAACCGTGGTGGACAGCCAGGAAGGCAACAGTACAAGTGACCAGGGGGTGCCCAAAGATAGTGCCCAAGGTTGGGGAATCAGCCAGAGGGGTCTCACTGTCCCTCTAGGAAGGCGGTATCAATCCCGTCAGTGGTGGCAGCGTGTAACAAAGGGAAATAGTTCCACCAGGAAGGGTGGGAAGGCAAAAATGGGCTTGCGAGCCACAGAATGGCTGTTCAGTCTCCCAGGGCTGAGGGCGGGTCCCTGTTTCGCCACAGGCTACAACAGCAAGGGAAGCAGCTAGTGGCATATGAGGTAAGCATATGCGAGAACAACAAACAGAGGGCAGGAGGACCTGAAGAGGGAAGGGACAGAAAGGGGGCACTGTGTTCAGAATTGTTTTAAATTTAACTCGTTTGCCTGAGTTCAAAGGTATCTTGAGACTTGAAAATACAGTACTGCTTTATTATAACTTAATATTTGTTCCTTCAATCTTCATTCCATCTGTGCATTAGTTTATTAATGCTTTCATTAGATATTCCTTTTAAAAGTGATACTAATAGGAATCTTACAGGATTAACAAAGCATGGGTTCAATCCTAAACAGGTTTACTCAGAAAGAAGTTCCATTTTATTCCGTGGCACTTATTCTCAGTTTTCTTAGGATGCTTCTGTTAACTAGATATAATGTTAAGGTTCATTTTCTTTATTGTAGTTTTGTAAATTATTCAGCAAAAGTTTCTTTAAGCTGTAGTTGGAGAAAATCATAATTGCTCTGAACTGTCTTAAAAAAAATGGAACTCCATAACAAGGGATTCTTTGCTTATCTAAAAACAAAATCCATGCAATACCTTTTATTAAGACTAATCAAATTACCACAACACAGTGTGCAAGCCTTTTGAGTTCTCCAGAGTTCTTCATGGAGGAGAGAGAGAGAGAGAGAGAGAGAGAGAGAGAGAGAGAGAGAGAGAGATGTCGATCTTCTTCTCCCCTCCTTTGAAAAAATAAACTAGCCTTTTTCATGCTCTGTTCCTACACATGTCCTTCCCTTCTAGAGACATGTTCTTGGGTTATGTGGTTTCTAATTAGACCCAAATGATCAACAAACCAATCTTACAATATTAGAGTCTGCCATCTTTCAAAACCGTAAGGTCATCTTCTTCCCTTTTCATTTCTGTTCCCCTTCCATTTGTCTTTTGTGGAGGCGGGATTTCCTTTTTTTTCTATGGGCTAAACAATTGCTAAATTGTGGCTATCTGCTCAACAGGAGGTGCTGACTGAGGCCACCTGCTCCCCTGTTGTGGCTGCCCCCTCCTCATTGTCCCTGCTAGTGCTGCCCGCTAATGCTCCTTCCCTCCTTGCTCCCCCATGTGTCTTTAAACACAACATGGTAAACCTCCTTTGCTTGTATGTGAAGTAGATAAATTAGTTTGCACAATGGTTTTGCTAGTCTTCAGAAAGCCCTGTAGCCCCTTTACCATCAGGAAAAATGAGGCAGCACATCCTAAGCCCCTGCTGTGAGTGCCACTTTTTGGTGTGACTGCACTTATGCTCTGTAGGATTTAGGGGCTGGGGCTTTCCACCTGCTTGGCTCTGCCCTTTCTTTGACTTCTCAGAAACATGAAAAGGAACAACTGTCATGCTTGCTTTCAAGGCTGTTTTAGCTTCTCAACCTGCCCCTGGAGCAGAGAACAGTTTAGGACTGTGTCTGGGAAGTCCCAGGTGTGGGATGGAAAGTGATCTACAGTAGGGTAGAAAGGAGACGCTCCAACTTACAAGGTCAGAGGAGCCAGCTGGGTCTGCAGTATCAGATACAGTACATTAGTAGGTTTGCCATTCCAAACATTTCTTCTTGCTGTGATATTCCCATAAAAATGGGGCTTTTGTGAGTGACATACAAACATAAATATCCTTATGATAGAATGTCCCTAGCTGCCCATCATGATAATGTTTTCACACTTTTCTTTACACTCATGAATATTAGAAATTTTAAAAAGAAAAACTAAGTTTTCAGTCCACCTCATGTGTTCAATATGCATTATTTGCATAATAAACAACTCATGGATATAAGAGAGAAGACATAGTATTGAGTGAAGACAGCCAGCAAATTTGGTTTACTTTTAACTATCCTGTAAAACAACACAGAGTTTTAGGACTTCAAATAGTTAATATGTGATTTCTTAATATGTTAAGTTGTATCCTAAATAAACTTCTAAAACCTCACTTTATCTTGTTGCATGATGTCAGAATCCTGTAACCTAGGATAATCTATTTAAATCTTGGGGACTGTTGCAGGAAAATGCCTTTTCTGTGTACTTAGCTTACTTTTTAAAATCTTTGTTTACTCAAGTCACTCTTCATGGATACCTGCAAAAACAGAAAACTCCATTTTGCTGGTTTCAGCCAATAGAGAGGCCAGTGATGTATTTTATCTATAGTTGTGTCACTGACTATTTTTTCTTATAAATTCTTTGCAGAAGGCACTCCTCAAATTACTATTTAAGCATAAAGGATGTTGGTGATTGAGGTCTGTCTTATAGGACTGAATGCAAACTGTCAATAGTTTGTAGAGAATCTATGCAAACTTCTTTTTGTGTCAGAAACTTACCCTTGTCTTAAAATAGCTGGCATTCTTCCTGCAGTCCATTTGTACAGCTGCTGATTTGTGTGGGTCATGTTGAGGTGGGGGTATTTATAGTCTTTTCAGAGGAGTCTCTGGATGTATGCTTCATGCCCAAAGATAGTTCCAGGAAATGATCATGGTTTGTCTCGAAAATAGACACTGATGTTTCTGTGAGTGTGCAGTTATTGTTCTAGTTAGTAAACTGAAACTTGCATTCTTTTGTATTTCAGGGTGCTGGTGTTTCCCATCCCTATGATAGTGGGCACATAGCAATGACTTATACTGGCCTCTGCTGCCTAGTAATTCTTGGCGATGACTTGAGCCGAGTAAATAAAGAAGCCTGCTTGGCAGGACTAAGAGCTCTCCAGCTGGAAGATGGGAGGTATGGTCAATTCCATGGTGCAGGGAATTATATATTTTTAGAAAGGAAAAACTGGATCAAAATATATAATGTAGTCTACTTTAAAGTAGGAATTAGCCAAGCTAAACCTAGTTTGAACACCAACCATTGAACATCTGAAGCTGCCTTATACTGAATTAAAACATTGGTCCGTCAAGGTCACTACTATCCAGTCCTTTTAGCTGGAGATGCCTTCTGCATGCTAAGCAGATGCTCTACTGCTGAGCCACATTCTCTCCCCTGAAGAGAAACAGACAGAGTTACAAACAAGAGGAGAAGATATTCTCAGTCACATACTTCCTTCCTTACTTCTGTGGAAGGCAAACTGAAACCACAGCACTCTTCTGAGAGGAGTGGTTATTCCCTCCTTGGCTTTTACTTAATTTTAAGTAGCATAAAGGGGAGGAAGAAGATTTATGTGGAGTAGAGGTACATTCAGGCTGAATATGTTCAGTCTGTCTTAGTGCCACCTTGAGTCCGGCTATACTAATAGTGAGATGCTCTAGAAATCATGAAATGCATAAACAATTATGCTAGCTTTAGGATGCAGAACTTACTGTTGAATATGTTTTAGGTGTTTTGGTGACCTGGTAAGTCGTGCTCCCTGTTTACCTACACCTGGCCCTGATCTTTTAGTTTGTCTTTCAGACTACCCAAACTTTTCTCATTGCTCATCTGTCTGGTATTATCTCCTTCCACAACAGGGCTTCTTTCACAAGCTATAAATTTGATTGGCTATAGGTATCTCTCCCCCCCCCTTACTTGAATTGCCCCTTCTTTTATTTCTCAATCTTTAGTACTTCAGCAACAGGCCAGTTCTCTCACTGACAACGAGGCCAAGTTATGATGGACCTCATCCACTTCCCTCCTTCATAGGCAAGATTTTCCCTCTATTTCCCTTTACTGACTGAGCACCCCTGGTAACGTGTTAATTCTTCCCTTGAAAAAACCTTGTCTGTCCCACCCTATTAGTATAGTATAAAGTATATTTTGACTATTTGCTCAGCCCAGGAACTTGAGGGGAGGATAGGATTGCCCTATAACTTAAACCCTTAAAAACACCACTTGAGATGCTTTCAAAATTCAAAAGTAACAAAAGGGTTTTTTAAACATCAAAGGGAAAAGGTCAGGTGAAATCAGGGGTTGAATTTAGTGAAGTCCTGTAAGACAGACCTCAATCACTATTACAAGCAAACTTTTTTTCTGTATCAGGCAAATGAGAGGTTCTTAAATTATTCAGTTACTTAGATCTTTATGTTGAGCGGCTTTTGTTCTAGTGTTTTCCGAAACACTCTAATACACTTTGGTGCCCAAAAGGCTCGTTCCCTCTTCTCAGTACTCAAACCCCGTCTCTTTGGAATGCCACTACTCTTGAGTCCTTGACTGACTTTTAAGGTCTCTAAACGCAGTTCCTAATCACACCAGACCAGGGATCTCTGTACTCTTCAGAGATAATAACTCTCTATGTTTGACTGGGTGGGGAATCTTCTCTTTCCTTTGGCTTGAATGGGAGTCTTCTCTACGCACTTCCTTGCAAAACTCTCCCCCCAGTACTCCTGTCTGTGTTCAAACTGCTCCCAGCTAATGCTGTATTCAGACTGTGTTCCGTCCAGGTAGAAATTTGACTCTGTCAGCACAAAACTTTTTTGGCAGGGCTATTTGTAGATGTCTCAGTACAGTCTCTTCATAGTAAAGGCATGAATCTGACTGACTTCTCTCAGCATCCAGCGCTCTCAAGACTTTTTTCTGCTCAGCTGATGCCAACCAATCAGATTGCTTAGAGCAGCCTGTCACTGAAAGGTCTCTGGCTTTGTGAAGAATTAACCCTTCACAGTCCTTTAGTTGTTGATAACAGCACTTCAGCCTCTTAAAAGTGCAGTTTGTCACACAGATATGTGGTTATCCAGTATTTTGCAGGATGTACTTGCTTCTGAAGAAAGCTTGAACCTTCTTGAAGAGAAAAGAACAGGCTTACTAAGGCAGAATACATATTTGCCTTCTATTTTCTGCTGAGTGAATTCATCCAGTTGTCATAAGAACATATGAACATAAGAGATGCCAATGTTGGATCAGGCCAAAGGCCCATCCAGTCCAACACTGTGTCACACAGTGGCCAGAAATACCAGTGCCATCAGGAGGTCCACCAGTGGGGCCAGGACATTAGAAGCCCTCCCACTGTTGACCCCCCCCCCCAAGCACCAAGATGACAGAGCATCACTTGCCCCAGAGTCCCTATCTATACCTTGTGGCTAATAGCCACTGATGGACCTCTGCTCCATATGCTTATCTAATTCCCTTTTGAAGCCGTCCATGCTTGTAGCCGCCACCACTTCCTGTGGCAGTGAATTCCAAGTGTTAATCACTCTTTGGGTGAAGAAGTACTTCCTCTTATCCGTTCTAACCCGACCGCTCAGCAATTTCATGGAGTGCCCACGAGTTCTTGTATTGTGAGAAAGGGAGAAAAGTACCTCTTTCTCTACCTGCTCTTTCCCATGCATAATCTTATAAACCTCAATCATTTCACCCCTCAGTCGTCGTTTCTCCAAGCTAAAGAGCCCTAAGCGCCTTAACCTTTCCTCATAGGGAAAGTGTTCCAACCCCTTTATCATTCGAGTTGCCCTTTTCTGCACTTTTTCCAAAGCTATAATATCCTTTTTAAGGTGTGGTGACCAGAATTGCACACAGTATTCCAAATTAGGTCGCACCATTGATTTATATAGGGGCATTATGATATTGGCTGATCTGTTTTCAATACCCTTCCTAATAATCCCCAGCATAGCATTTGCCTTCTTTATT